TCATTTGTTATAAGTATAAATGATTGGAAACCGCTTAATGGTGCCTTAGTATCTGAAATATGTGGGGAGAAGAAGCCAAATGTCTTGATCTGGGACTCCTCGAATTGAATTCCTCTAGGGCCGTAACCAACTTCGTTTCCTGGAGAGTAATTAAGCGTGGTACTTGATGAGGGTGAAAGTAATTATGACTGTAATTGAGCAGTGGGTGAACTTTGATGTAATTGCCCTCTTCAAATAACTGTCCGAGTAAATAGCTTCTGCTTTAGATCTTGCAATTCTATAACTTTTTAATGGAATCTTAGAAACAAAAACAATTCCTACACCGGGCTCTGTTATTTGTAAGAAGCTTACTTATTGTTTCACCATTGCGTTTATTTCATTAGTTTAATAATAAGATTAACCAGAGCCAGTGGACTGTTTTGATGATAACTTCATTTTTGAGTTTGCCTAATCGAAATTGCACGTTTATTTCTGGGAAGTCACCAGCGTTAACCTGTTGATATATGATTTAATTGAGGCTATTTCATTTCTAACTCGTATTAATATTTACAGTGCGCATGCTACGGGAAGAGCTGCAACTGCTTCAAGAGCCAGGATCCTATGTTGGAGAAGTTGTTAAAGTCATGGGAAAGAACAAAGTTTTAGTCAAGGTAAGTGGGCTTTTCTTGTTTTTATTTCAGGAAAAAAGTAGTAATAATAAATAAATAAATTACAGATTCATTGACATTCCCCTTCCCTCCCTCACCCCCTCCATGCTTTGGGATCGCATTGATATTACATAAGAACTTCTGTTTGGAACTCTTTTTGAGTCAAGTTTAATATTCTGAAATTAAAATATGAAAATGCATTTAAGCTCATATCATCGAGTCCATATCATTAACATACTGAGACTTGACTTCTGATACTTCTGGGCAACAGAATTGGCCTTGTAATGCTTCAAATGATTAGCGTTGTATCCTAATATTAATCAACGTTTCAAATTTGTATTTGTGTTTATATGGTAATATGATCTTAGAAGTTCCATTCCAAAACATTCTATCTCAACTAGCTTATTGGACATTTTTTTTTCCCAACTTCTATTTGTTCTACACCTGCACAGGTCCATCCAGAAGGGAAATATGTGGTTGATATTGACAAAAGTATCGATATCACTAAAATCACACCTTCGACTAGAGTTGCTCTCCGTAATGACAGCTATGTTCTTCATTTAATCTTGCCAAGCAAAGTAGATCCCCTTGTTAATCTTATGAAAGTTGAAAAGGTTCCTGATTCTACTTATGATATGATTGGTGGTCTTGACCAGCAAATAAAGGAAATAAAAGAGGTTTGTGCGTTGCAAATAGTTTTCTTGTTGTTAACTACTTGTTAGTCAATAATCTGTTCTAAAATATTAATTCCAATTTATAGGTTATTGAACTTCCCATTAAACATCCTGAACTATTTGAGAGTCTTGGAATAGCTCAACCAAAGGTAATGATAATATTATATGCTACAATATTACTTCCTTACTAGTTTCTTGCAATATATGTTGGTCCTGTCAAATACATATCTCTCACCATGCACTTCAAATAGGGTGTCCTGCTATACGGACCACCTGGTACAGGGAAGACACTGTTGGCTAGAGCAGTGGCGCACCATACAGATTGTACTTTCATCAGGGTTTCTGGGTCTGAATTGGTCCAGAAATATATTGGAGAAGGCTCTAGAATGGTCAGGGAGCTTTTCGTCATGGCCAGGTTTGTTTTTATATTTTCTTTCGTGTATGCATGGTCCTTTTCTCAACTTCCTTTAATAACTAGAACCTAAATCAGGAACGGGCCTTTTGGTGCCAAAATTTTGTTGACTGGAAATGGGCAATCTAGGATTTCAATTTTCCACCCATGAAAATGTTCAAACAAACAGCCCGGAAAAATAATTGCATAAACCAAACCTGGAAAAGATTGTATCTTAAGTTGTGTCACCCTCTTTAATCTTATGCATATTTTTATTGTTCCAACTGCAATCATTTCTTGATTTTTCCTCTTCAGAGAGCATGCACCTTCTATCATTTTCATGGATGAAATTGATAGCATTGGGTCTGCTAGAATGGAATCCGGGAGTGGTAATGGTGATAGCGAGGTGCAGCGTACTATGTTGGAACTTCTTAACCAGCTCGATGGATTTGAAGCATCAAATAAGATCAAGGTACAATACATAGACTCCAGACTCCATTTGTGAAGGATGGTGAGCATATCTTATGACAAACATTGATTAAATATTTCTTAGTAAAATCAAACATAAGACTAACATTAGATAAATCATACACTAGCTTTTGTTGAACAACCAATGTTTTAAATATTAGATGAGCGTTGAGGCTTATTCTCTCGATGGGCGAGGTTTATGTCTAGATGTCTTGTAGAGATATGAAGTGTAAGTATCTATCTAAACCAAAAAGGCAAGTAATAGAAGTGTATAACCATCTATGACCAAACATAATGATTAAATGAAAGGGAAAGAAAGTATGTCTTTCTTCAAGTGGGGATTTTAGGGAGCATTCAGCATTGCATTGCCCCTTAAGATCTACCTATACTCTAGTTTTTGTTTGTGCTTTTCTTAAAATTTCTCACTCCCACATCATGTTGAACCACTCCCAAACATAATCATTAAATGAAAGGGAAAGGAAGTATGTCTTTATTTAAGTGGAGATTTTAGGGAATATTCATCATTGCATTGTCCCTTAAGATCCACCTTTACTCTGATAGTTTTTGTTTGTTCCTTCTTAAAATTCCTCACCCCCACATCATGTTGGAACTCTCAAACAAAAACAAATTTCTAAAGGTTTAAATTTCATGTTGTATTGGTATCACAAATATATACTATATATTGATTTCATTCTTGTAGCCTTTACATCAGTTATAAAGATTCCATTCCATGCTTTTTCATAGTGCGTATACTTCTTGTGCCTTTGAAGATATTGAAAATTTTATTCCTGTTTGTACTAAAGTCCATGCAATTCATGGAAACTTATTGGGGCACTTAACTGTCTCCTGACTTGTAGTAATCTGATTACCGATTATTTTGGATTAAGATTTGATATCTGAAGTTGGATTCTAACTGCTTGGACTTAATACAGGTCTTGATGGCCACAAATAGGATTGATATTCTGGATCAAGCTCTTCTAAGGCCAGGACGAATTGACAGGAAGATTGAATTCCCAAATCCTAACGAGGATGTAAGCACAACTAGTTGTTTCAGTATATACTTCTGTTATTTAAAGAGTATTATAGAAACACAATGAATTTTACTTCATTTCACTCTGCTTTTTCTGAAGCTCTCTTTGCCCAAAAAGGAATTATAAGTTTGTTTGCAATAGAAAGATAAAAGCCACTTATCATGGTTGTTTGGTTATGCGATAATAGGCGTTTGTGAGTATATAAAGCTGCCTATATATTTCTCTTCTAATAAGGGTTGCGATTATTAGCTGTTAGGAGCGGTATCAATCATAGTTACTCTTACTATATTGAAACACTGACATTCAGTTCTTGTGGAATGCAGTCCCGGTTTGATATCTTGAAAATACATTCACGGAAAATGAATTTGATGCGTGGGATCGATTTGAAGAAAATTGCAGAGAAAATGAATGGCGCATCTGGTGCTGAGCTCAAGGTATATCTGTTGTACTTGTATATGATATAAATGCTCTCTCAATGTTGATGTTCTTACATATCATTTGATGATGACTGGTTCGAAAATAATCTTGAGCGTTCATGCATATAGTTATTCCACATCAACTGCTATTAACACTAAGTAGCACTTCGAAACATTTATCGGAAAGGTTAGGCTAGTGATTAATAAGGTGACCACCGACCTGGAATTAATATCCTACAAGTTAGCACCAAATGTAGTAGGGCGGGGCAATTATCATGGAAGAAAGCCTGTTTAGCACGATTAGCTAACCTTGTGGTGACCAAAGGATTAGCTAACAGCTCTTGGATCTAAAGCTCCTGTGGACATTATGCTGTGGATGTTACATATATTAAAAAATTGTTGCCAATTCGATTACACAAAAGCATTAGAACAAATGTAATCACGATTGCTGTTGAGTGTTTACGTTAATTACTTTTTGGTGGCATCTGTTGTGCTTTAATGCAGGCGGTGTGCACGGAAGCCGGGATGTTTGCTTTGAGAGAAAGAAGGGTTCACGTGACTCAGGAAGATTTTGAGATGGCCGTGGCCAAGGTAATGAAGAAGGAATCAGAGAAGAACATGTCGTTGCGAAAACTCTGGAAGTAGAATATGATACGAAGCACCAAAGGCCGAGCAAATTTCAAGTATTGTTGCTTACCCTTTTCGTTTTTGAATTCTCTGCCTCACCTGGGCTGTGCTTGGACGTTGTTGAACTTGCTTATTTTACCTTGAACTATGTTTTCTTGTCGTCAACTCCTTTATACTCAATTGTATCTGTAACTTAAAAGTCTCCCCTGCCACATTTTTTACCGCCACGTTCTCCAAATGTATTGGCAAGTTGCATGTAGTTGGTAAGAATTATCAATTGGCTGATAGTTTAGAAGTTTGTTCTATATTTACTTCATATCATTCTGACCTTTGAGAATGAGTATTATTTCAGGTAGGAATGATCGACTTATTTATAATGATTATATTCGTTGACATAACGTGTGTATTTGACTAATACAAGTTATATTAAATAATTTTGTATAGATTTAATTTAAAATGGTTAAATTAATATTAAATATATTAAATAAAATAGAATATATATATATATATATATATTTAAATTTTAAATGAGAATGGTGGAATATTTAAATATGATTTAAATAAAAAAAAATTTATTTCCAACCATGGTTAATTTGATTCGATTTTTTGGTGGAAATACAACCATAAATGACATGGCTATTAAATGATCGACTCATAATTCATAAATTATCGAAATGGGACTATAGTTTCAAAATAATGTATACTCATACAGTCCCATTTTTGAAACTATAGTCTTTGAATTTATTATATGAAGAGTTTAGAAATTAATTCCAAAAAATGTTCGGTTCCAAGAATTATTTTTAAAACATCTGCTTTCTTCAACATTTCTATTATTCTTCACATTAATATTCATCGACATCTGCAAAAACTCCGGTCCGAATATTTCCTCGATTTCAGGTCGATTTGGAGCTCTCTAATTTCGTTTTTTTCCAATTACTTTTAAGTTTTCTTTTCGTGTTAATTTGGATGAACGATGGATTGACTTCCATATATTTAATTCTAATTCTGGGTGATGGTTTTTGATCTTTGTGAATTTGTGATCAAGTTTGTTCTAGGGCTGAAAGCTTCGGTCGTTCTCTTTCGGGTAAGGAGATAACCAATGAAAGGGGAAGTACAGTTGGAATCGTCTATTGCCCAAAAACCTACTGACTCTGATCCTCTGCTTGAGAATCAGTCCGATTCATCCCATGGTGGAACCTCCGATGAAATCAGGGACGATGAGGATGCTGAAGCTGGTTCCATTCCCTGTTGTCGTATTTGCCTAGAGAGCGACGCTGAACCAGGTCAATTTCATCGTTACTTTCCTCGTTGGATGTTTATTTTCTTCTTAATTCATGCTCGGTTAAACAATTTAGATGTTGGCGCAATTCTGTTGAATTTTAGCTTCATCGCATCTTGGGGGGTAATACCACTGATTATTACAGTCATATACGAGTTTTCATAGCTGGGGTAATATCTTCTTCCACTGGCTCAAATCCAATTTTCCATTTTACAGAAGATGAACTGATTTCTCCATGCATGTGCAAAGGCACACAGCAGTTTGTCCATCGATCTTGTCTTGATCATTGGCGCTCCATTAAGGCAAATTTCTTTATTTTAGTTCTTCTACGGTGTTCCTGCTTTCGACTATCAAGGATTTGCTTGTTTCCTATTCTATTTTCTTATGATTTTAATCAATCTGAAAGGATTCTCGTAATTCTGCAGGAAGGGTTTGCTTTCTCGCATTGCACAACATGCAAATCCCAATTTCATCTGAAAGTTTCCTTATTTGAGGACAACTCTTGGCGTAAAGTTAAATTCAGGCTTTTTGTGGCAAGGGATGTTCTCCTTGTATTTCTAGCTGTTCAAACTGTGAGTTCACTTAAACTTCCTACGATTCTAAAGTCAATTCGAATTCTCTTTTTCTGAAATGCATGAGAAAATTAAATGTTTAAACATAAACTTTTATGGAAAATCTTGTCTGCACTTTGATAATGGAGGGTTTATCCCTTTTGCAGTTAATAGCTGCAATGGGTGGTTATGCGTATATTATGGACAAAGATGGGGCATTCAGAAATTCTTTCAGTGATGGATGGGATCGTATTCTCTCCAAACATCCTATTCCATTTTATTACTGTATTGGTAAACTACTTTTCATCTAAACTGGTCTACTTTTTCTTTAAGAATTGGATCTTAGACGTGCCGGATCATCCCAAATACAAATTCTTTTATTGATAAATTCAGGCTTCGTTGTGCATTGTATTGTTTATTCATACTCAAGATGAAGTAGCAGGGACGTAAAATCTCTCATTTTATTAGTGTTGAAAGCTTATTACTAGTTCACGATGGAAAATGGATATCTTCATCTACATTCCTGTCAAAATAATTATTTTACTGCGGAGAGGAGGGAGGAACGAAGCATTCTTTATAAGGGTGTGAAGACTTTTCCCTAGCAAATGCGTTTTAAAACCTTGAGGGGAACCCGGAAGGGAAAGCCCAAAGAGTACAATATTTGCTAGAGGTGGGCTTGGGCTTGGGCTGTTACACATTGACGCATTGTCAATAACACTCCCCTCTCCCCTGAAAAGTATGTGAAATCTTTCATTTAAGTTGACTGCTTGTAAAATTAAATTCAGCTTCCATTTCGAATTTCATGCTGAGGTCTTGTCTTTGGATACAGCTCCTTTGTTCACCAATTTCTTTCTGAGCATTTTTCTTTTTCTAAATTTCATGGTTCGAAGAGTTATCGGATTAATTATGCATTGTCGACAACTTGTTTCATGGAGTTTTGATTTATTAATGTATTGTTGTATGCATGTTTGCCTTATGCCAGGGGTTCTGGCCTTCTTTGTTCTGCTTGGATTTTTCGGGCTCATACTACATTGTTCCTCCCTGAATAGTAACGATCCACGAGTTGCTGGGTGTCACAACTGTTGCTATGGCTGGGGTATCTTGGATTGTTTCCCTGCATCTATGGAGGCCTGCTTTGCACTTGTTATTGTTTTCGTCGTTATCTTTGTAATCCTTGGCATAGCTTATGGTTTCCTCGCTGCTACTATGGCTATCCAAAGGATCTGGCAAAGGCATTACCACATTCTCACCAAAAGGGAGCTGACTAAAGTAAAGTTCTAAACCCGTTTGTGTTTGTTGTTAGTGGATACCATACCTGGTACTGGTTTTTATACTTCACTTTTCTGTAGGAATATGTGGTGGAGGATCTTCACGGTTGTTATACCCCTCCAAAATTGGATCCAGAACATGAACAGCACTTGAAAATGCTACAGCTCCTGTAATGAATGGCAGATGAGGTGTTAAATTTTTATTTTGTTTGCTATGATCTTTTGTTTGAGACGATACAATGTGCATTTGCTTAACTGCGTTGTTATAAATGAGCAATGTGGAAAATAGATTTTAACTAATTTGTCACTCACCCCTTCTCGCATTTTGTGCTCCAGTTTCAGTTTTTAGGCCATTGTCATCCTCAACATTTTGATTGTTTCTCAAGTGTTCATGAAGTGGGGCATTATTCATATAGATAGTTACTTCTTTCAAAAATAGTTATTTATAAGATAAATTATTTGTGAAATTTAAGTGAATTTAAACGTAGATCAACTTTTTATCTACATTCTTATTCAACTTTTTATCGCTTAACAACCAAGACAATTCGAAGGTGAATTTGGATCGAAAAGTTGTTAGAATAAAATTTTGTGTGAATCCAAAGCTGTCCCATTTCAAATTTCTCACCACCAGTTTGGGTGTCATGAAATGGTAAATGCATTCATATTTGCTTAAAGAATGATGCACTATATACAAGATTTGAACTTTACGAATCTCCCTATCTATACCATATCGCCCCTCGGCTTCGCTGATTGAAAACAAAACAAAAAAAGGTAGTACTATATGGTTTTTCCATCGCTGACAAAAACAAGATGATCACCGTCTCTAATGACCTCTATATCTTCAATGGCAGCTCCATCTTTGGTCAATACCTTTGCACCCACAATCCCATATTTCTTCGAACCAATCTCGAGCAGCTCGTTGTAACTTCCCGGAAGCAGAACCAACTTCCCACCAACTTCGCCAATCTCTGGACAGCTGATAATCACCCTAGCAGGGTTGGTTCCTGAGTGCTCTCCTCCAGTTTGGTTATCAGGAAAAAGAATGTCTTTCCCGCCAGAGTGAGCTGCTGACATGATTCCAAACAACGAGTTATTGAAGTTGTTAGTTCTACGCCGTGGACGTGAATGACCCGACAATGAACCATCATTTCCTTCCTGAGGTATGGGGCGAATCGTAGGCTCGCTTGTAAATCTTCCAAGGAAGCGAATCCCATTCTGCTTCTCGGGAATGGCAATGACAGATTGAGTTTTTGACTCTTTGGTTGTCTGGAAGAGATTTTTAATCTCTTCATGCCCCTGTTGGTCTGCTAGATCTCTTGGAGTCCATCCATGAACATCAGCTTTGTCAATATCAGCTCCTTGTTGAAGAAGGAACTTAACAATCTCAATGTTGTCTTCACAAACAGCAACATGTAAAGCTGTCGTTCCATTGATCTTGGCACTCCTAACGTCTCCTCCATATCGGACAATCTCCTTGAGCAACTGGAGGTTGTTTTGCTCTGCAGCAGTGCACACAAATTGACCCACGTCCCCCGATCGAAGATTAGCTCCATTGTCCATAAGTAGCTGAATAACTGGCTCATGGCCACCTAGTATCGCCTCCCACAATGGCACACTTCCATCAGAATCTGTAGAAAGAGATACCGTAGAAAATAATCAACTTTCCAGTCTGTGAATCAATCAAAATTTTTATCCGAGAATGAATTCTTTCAATAATTCCACATGTTTATCAGTTTCAACCACGAAGCACATGATAAGACATATTCTAATGCGATACGATCTGTTTATCAAGCTATGATAAACAAATTGGATGCCAGCAAAGACACAGCATTAATAACAACACCCATAAAGGGAAATGAGACAGGACAGTTGGACTAAATGTTCTAATGGACTCCAAAGGTGTCTAAAGCAAACGACTATTGAGATAAGACTTTTTCAAATAAGAATATTTGGTCAACTCGGTTATTAAATACAAGACCACAGAATTCTCAGATTATATTTAAAAAAACAAGCAAATAAGTTAAAGAAGATAGTTGACTTGAAGTTGAATAATGGGGAGAAATAAATGCATTTGCAGGGCAAAGAAAGTCAACGCGGTGCCACCTTATTTTCGTTGCATGGAGAAGTTAGTATCATGAGAAGCAAATAGTTATTGAAACACAGCTGCTGGTGATGCCGTTAATATCAGTAATAAAGGATATGAGTACCTCTGCTATTGGGATCAGCTCCATAGTCCAGTAACAGAAGCACACAGTTCTCGTTTCCTTTTGATGCTGCTATGTGCTGGTATTACATGAATGTGGATATAACAAGAAAAAGAAAGGATTCAAACTCAGAAACATGTAAATCTTTTGGAAAATGTTTAGAGCAACAGGAAATTGAGCTCACGAGTGAAGTACGCCCGTTGTTGTCCGATTCATTTGGATCGAGACCTCGTTTCAAAAGCTGGTGTAAAAGCAAGTCATCTCCTCTAAGTGTTGCAAAGCAAAGACTGAGTGGTAGGTCCATTCTGCCTCTAGCTAGCATGTTCTCTGTCTCCAACAATACCCCTTCCATGATGGGGTCCTTGTCTTTGAGGTCCCTCAAATGCTGCCATCCAAGAAAATATACTTGTTAATCAAGTCTATAGACATCATCCGGAGGGAACTCTGTTTAACCAACATAACATATATGTAATAAGGAAGCAGACCTGAAGAAGATTGTTCATGATTATGGTCCCGTCACCGACATTAGATTGAACAATATTAAGGAAAGCAGTACGATTCAGACGCAGCAACTGACTCAATCGCTTCGTGCGCACCGTAAATAGTTGTGGCCTGTAACATAACACCCCAATCTCACCACAAAGATCCCCGGTTCTAGCCTCTCCAACAAGCTGCAAATATTGGAGCAGTTCAGTCAGCAAATAACACCAAAAATCCAATATTCTAACTATCCAAGAGCTTCAATAAACAGACTTGCCTGTTCAACTCCATTCTTGAGAACCAGCAAATCCTGGGAAAAGAATCAAACATTAGACTTGGGTAGAACAGAATTTGGGTTCATAATCAAAGAACTTAAATAATTACCACAGCACCCGTGACAAGAATGTAAAAGTCGGTCGGCGCTTCGTTTTGTAAAATCACATCTTCCTTTGGAGGAAAGTACTCTGCCTTCATTTCTGAAACCTTTAACATACAGCAAATCAATTAGCTCATAATAAAAAGAAGAATTATCACGGTTAAAACCTCGAAAACTTCAGCTAATTACCAGTTGAAAAAGTAGATCATTCGAAACACCGCGAAACAAGTAGACTTTGTCTACTAGAGAATAGAACAGATAATGAGAAATGCTCGATCGGATGGCTTTAGGTAAGGAGTCGAGAGTTTCTTGCTGCTGCAATCCCTCAGAATCAGTCCTGAACTTTAGACACAAATGTGCAAGCATTTGATCTTGCAAACGGGGAGGAAGTTGATTCCTATGAGCGAAACTCGAAGCCGCTTGAATGGTATCTCTCTGAGAAAAACAAGCACCAAAGTAGTAGGAACATCAGCAAAACCAACAAATTATCAAGATGTTTGAATTATGTACACTTACAAATTTTCTAGTTCTACCGGTGCCATGAACAACTAAGTTGGTCATATTTCCAATCAAATATGCTGTCAAGCCAAGATTGAAAAGCATGTAGAAGATGTCAAAAATCATCTCCTTCGAATTCACAGGATGCAAATCGCCATACCCAACAGTGGTTAAGGTAGTGATGGACCAGTAAATGGAAGTGACATATCTAACCCACAAACTTTGATTAAGAAAGTCATCAATAGACGCTCCAATCCATGTTTTAGTCGGGTCACTATTACGAGCAGCAATCAGATAATAGAAACATGCAGCACAATGAACCGCAAAGAGAGTAACACAAATGAGCTTCGCACATCGAACCCAGAAGTAGTTATAGTTCTTATCTTTTTCCAATCTGTTCGGAAGAAAGAAAATGGAGATTAATTCAACGTTGAACACATCTTTGATTCTTCTTGCTAATATAGACAAAGTTAAAAGTGTTCGTACCTGGAAAACAGAGCACTGACTCTTCTTAGACGCCATAAACGAAGCATGTTGAATAATCCATAAGAACGGAGCGGTGGTGGGGAAATTTTCTGAGCAAGTTCGGAAGGGATTGTTGATATGACATCAAAGATTAGCCATGAACGTGCATACTTTAGAGCTATCTTCTTCGGTTCATCCACAAGTAAATAGGTGGCTTTATGAAGATAAGCCACGAAGAATGTTAGAACAATATCCACAGCAAAAAACCCATTAACCACATTGTCTGTAACTGAGAGTGGCGATTGGGGTTTCTTAAGGAATCCAAACTCGAACGGCGAGACCCAAGCTGTATAAACCACTAAAACAACTAGAAATGTCTCCCAAATCCTGTAGATAGCAAAATCTTAGCCACTTTTTTCAGAAAATTGAAACAAATATGCATCACCCTATACAAACAAACATAAAATAACGCAAGATTACACAAATACATCAATAAGAACAAAAAGGTTGCATAACCTAAATAAAAAACAAAAAGGTGCAGAGATTGTATTATTTACAAACAGGGGAATTCTGAATCCCACCATTCAATACATAAATGGATTAAGAAGGCATAGATTAATTTTTTTTTTTTCAAACCCAATTGAAAAGGTTGAATAAAATTGATGATGGAAGTCAAAGCAACTGCTAAAAAAGGCAATAAGAAGGAATCAATGCATGAATGATGATGAAGAACAAACTGACCTGTATCGACGGTCATAGGGCGATATGATAAACCACCGAAGCTTAACTCTCCGGTTGCTTCTAGCTCCAAGAGACGGCAATATTCCGGTGGTGAGGCTATACTGACTGCCATCTCTAGAGAGTTGCTCGAGCTCCTGTTGCCCACAAACAGAAACCTTGAAAACTCCTCTGTTTCTGAGGCCCTCCATTACTGAAAACTACGAAAAAAAGAGAGAGAAGAAAATCTCTCTCACCTTCCCTGTTGGTTTGAATATCTTGTTCGTGTTCTTGGGTTTGATTCGGTTTGCTTATATAGCGTTTTTTGTGAAGTGGGGTCAGATCGTTTGCTATTAGCTTGAACCTTGCAGGCCATCAACCCTCGGCTCTGTTATATAGGCGCGTTTCTTCTTCACTGCGCGTAGGCTTTTCGGGAGCGGCTCCCACAGCACAGTTATTTTTGCACCCAATTCACTATTACCCTTAATTTAATCAAATGGGTCAAACCTTCTTCTGTTTGGATTCCTATTCCCCTAACGCCGTGTTTGCCTTGTGCTGTAATATTGGCCATGGAAA